TTTGCAAATCGACAGATGATTACGATGCGGACAGCGTGAAAGCGGGGGAAATTTCGAAAGGCATTCATTCGATCGACGAAACGAGAAGCGCGAGTCGAATGGTACCATTCTCAAAGGACGGTCAGTTGTCGGGGATCTGGTTGATATCAGATACGTGTTTAGGTTCACTGCCGTTGAGGCCTCCTCGAAGACGCCTGCTAGCAGCGTAGACGCCCTTGCGCAGTCTGTTGAGTGATCCGAGAGGCTTGTGAGCTTCCAACCCGTACCAGGGATTGATGATCAATTCCTGCTCGTGGAAGCGGACGCGATGAATGGCAAAGCTTTCTTGAGGAGGAATGTTGAGCTTTGCAACCGTGACGAAGGGGTACTTGTCCTCGTCCCAAGCGTTCCTATTGTCCTCTACAGCTTGCTCTTGAATATTCTCCAACAGCTGAACTTGGAAATCGTACGTCGCTTCGTTGGACTTGTAGTACTCTTGCAACCAGTCCCTGAGAATAGTGTTGCCCTTGTGCTCCGGCTTCACCTCCCTCTTAGCGGCTTCTTGAGCAGCAGAGCTTGGCACCAGACGATGTTTGGCGACATACTCCCCATGCCTAAAAGCCGATTGGCTGTACTGAACTTGAGAAACCAAATTGATGTTGGGAATATGATTACGAGAATCCTGTACTTCGTAATCGTCCCTCTTCTTCAACTCCCCATCCAGCTCCTCTGCATCGTGTCCGTGCTCAAGTCTCAGAGCCAAAATGTCTCTGCAGACTCGAGCAGTGCCAAGCTCGATGGCTGGAGCGCTGTTGAACTCGAAATCTTGCGTCTTTGCATCCACATCCCCCAGCTTGCCACCTTCCACGCCGAATATTTTGAGGCCTAATCCGCGTGGCTGTGGAACCCTATCGTCGATCAGGTCCGTCGTCTCGGTACTGTAACGCATGTGCACCTGATACGTTCCGCTCTTGGAGAAGAACCCTTGCGCGTACTCTGAAGGGGGCGCCGAAGCATCTGGAGAAGGAACAGTGATGGTGCCTTTGACTACTCCTTGTGTCTTGACGTGCGTACCGCTAAAGGCTCGGCGATGACACTCGAACACTCGGCGTTGAGATTCGTTGATCTGTTCCTCCACTTGTTTGATCAGATCATCCTCCTCCGCCGTCGACTTGGAGTCCACTCCCTGCCGTTGCCCAGGAAACAAGGAGTGGCGTCAGTAAGATCGGATTAGAGCAAAGCTGCGAGAGCAGGGGCAGCAACCACTCACCGGGGCATCCCATCTGATGAATCTGGAAGAGCTACCGGTCATGCTTAGAGGAATGCCTTTTGCGGTTCTCGGGATCAGGAGATGATGTAGTATCTCTTTCAGACCTGGATGGCGGAAGTAGCTTGCGTGAATTTGTCGTGATTTAAGGCGTGTCAGGATAAGGTAGATTGCTACCCTCTCATTACGACTGGCCTATTGGAGCGCTGCTGATGAATGCCGAACCTTTCGTTGGTCGGCGAACCCCACACGGAATCGAGGTGCATTATGCCCTCACATATTCGACTGCAAAGCAAGCGGAGAACGATCAGGGAAAGATGAGGAGCAGGGGGACCCTGTGCTGCAGGTGTTTCATATGCCTCCACATCGCGGGTCGGATTGCTTCTCTTGACTTTTGAGTCTACGAATCACGTGACCATTCCATACCGTTTTGCATCGTCAAGGGTAATCAAACGTGGCAGTTGAGTCAGGCACCGTGAGCTTAGCAACAAGCGTCAGCACTCACGACTCAGTCAACCGAGTCTTCAATTGATTCGTACAGAAAGCGTTGAGCTCTTCTTCCAAGGCGAAATGTGCCTG